GATGAAAAGACAAACAAGTACATGTATATTCAATAATAATGTCAGCTGGGTCAGAGAAGAATAGGAAATAAAATGAATTCATAACACCTCTGGAGATAGCTTTCTGATACAGACAGTTTTTTTCTGATTTGCCCTCATTGACAGTATTCATTGTAACTTTAACATATCCTCTAAATTGGCCTTTATTAATAGCTGACCTGATCTTCATAAGAAATGTCTTCCATAATCTCCAGTCTGTGTGTTTCTGAGGTGAACAATTACATAGAGCAGAATAGAACATATGCATATTTACAGGGATCTCTCCTTCAAGAGGGCCCGATTTCGTGTTCAGACCATCTAGGCAGTGTTTGAGAGAGCTGTAGATACAGAGCTCTTCTGTCTCGGTGCTTTGAAGCTGAAACGGGTAACCAACCTCTCTAGATACGACAGTGAAATAGTCACCTTGGATTAAGGTTGCTGGCAATCTTAAAAAGCCCTTATTGGGCTTCAAGTGTGATCAGATGCTACTTGCTTATAAACAAGAGTTAATAGAAACATTAAACAGTACGAGCTACTGTGACCCATGTCTTCAGAATATTAAGCACATTTTAAAATTGTGGAAGACCATCTAGTCCTCTGCTTTCTGTAAAATATTACCTCTTCCAACCAATATCTTCTGGGAGCAGGTTGTTTGAACTCTTCAGCATTCTACTTTCATTTGGTCATACTGTGTATTTTTAATTTATTCCCTTACTTCTCTGGCTACCATATATTTATTGTTGATATCATACTCAGTTTCTCTTTAATTATTCCATCTGCCAGGAGAGTGTGATGCATTTTAGGAGCCGTGTGGTTTAGTTGTTTAACCTTTGAGTTTTGTAACTGAATGGGATGACATATTCTTCATTTAGCAGAACAGGCTATGAAGAATTATATACTCCAAGTGATAAGCTTGGAACTGCTAAAGAAATACCAAACTCCAATTTTTTTCCTCTCTCTAGTCGTCTAAACATCCATTAGTCTTTTGAAGGGAACTCATAAATCCTGCAGATTTAGTTTATCTGAAACCAACTCTAACAGTTGTCCTTCCTACTAATCATGTTTTATATCCATTTTATATTTTTCGATATTCAATAAACATGTCTTGCGCTTACTGTACTTGTTAGAAAGTGTCTGCAGTATAGGCTGTATGAAGACAGTTATTAATCAGCCATTTCAGATGGCTGTTTGGTTAGTTTAGTAAGTGTATTCATTTATCTTTTTTATGTTTTCTTCTTTGTTCTTTCCATTTATCTAATATGGAATTTCCTTTGTTCTTTTTGGTCTGTTTCTACCAGGGTATGTCAAAAAGGAATTTAAAATGTAACGAATGCAAAAAAAAAAAAGCAATAGCTGGAAAGAAAGAGAAAACACCACTCTTTAGGCTTCGTTCATGAAAGATCCTTTGCCTTATGTCCTCTTAGATCTGCATTAAAAAATAATGATAGAGTGCATTATCTAGCAGTGCTGCGTTAAAGCAGTAGATAATTTACACATTAAAGTGAGATATAGGTTTAAAAGTAGGAGTATAGGGTTGAATTAGAGTTAAGAGTCAGAATGATGTAGTCCTGTGTGAAGAGAGTCTTGGTTTCCTGAGGGCATTGTCCTTCTGGTGTGTAATGAGACTTGCAGATAACAATCTGGGGCTGTGAACAGATCCAGGTACAGCGATATGTTGAGAATAGCACAGCAAGTAATGACACTGGGGAAACAAATGAATGTGTCTGCTAGATAAACAACGTCAGAAGTTCCTGTTCATCACCAAAGTCCAGGCCTTGAAAGATTAATATTTCCTGAAAAATTCTGTAGTGGGTTTGCATGGCAAGGTTTTGGTAGTGGGGAGGGCTGTGGGGATGGCTTCTGTGAGAAGATGCCAGAAACTTGCTCTAAGTCCAATAGAGCCAATGCCAACTGGCTCCCAGACAGACCTGCCACTGACCAAGGCCGAGCCCATCAGCAAAAGTGGTAGCACCTCTGTGATGACATATTTAAGAATGGGAAAAAAACTGCTGCACAGCAGCATCCAGAGAGAGGAGTGAGCAACAACTCTGCAGACACCAAGGTCAGAGAAGAAGGAGGATGCAGAGGTGCTCCAGGTGCCAGAGCAAAGATTCCCCTGCAGCCCATGGTGAAGACCATGGTGAGGCAAGCTGACCTCCTGCAGCCCATGGAAGTTAACGATGGAGCAAAGATCCACCTGCAGCCCATGGAGGATCCCACACCGGAGCAGGTGGCTGCACCCGAAGGAGCCTGCGACCCCATGGGAAGGCCACACTGGAGCAGGCTCCTGGCAGGACCTGTGAACCAATGGAGAGAGGAGCCCACGCTGGAGCGAATTTACTGGCAGGACTTATGATCCCATGGGGGATCCACACTGGACCAATCTGTTCCTGAAGGACTGCACCCCATGGAAGGGACCCACTCTGGAGCAGTTTGTGAAGAACTGGAGCCTGTGGGAAGGACCCACATTGGAGAAGTTTGTGGAGGACTGTTTCCCCTGAGTGGGACCTCACACCGAGGCAGGGAAAGGGCATGAGGAAGAAGTGGCAGAGACAATGTCATGAACTGTCCACAACCCCCATTCCCCATCCCTCTGTGCCACCTGGGGGGAGGAGGTAGAGAAGTCAGGAGTGAAGTTGAGCCTGGGAAGAAGGAAAGGGTGGAAAGAAGATGTTTTAAGATTTGGTCTTATTTCTCATTATCCTACTGTGATTTGATTGGTAGTAAACTAAATTAATTTCCCTAAGTTGAGTCTCTTTTGCCCGTGAAGGGAATTTCTGAGTGATCTCCCGGTCCTTATCTCGACCCACAGGCCTTTCGTCATATTTTCTCTCCCCTGTCCAGCTGAGGAGGGGCAGTGATAGAACAGCTTGGTGGGCACCTGGTGTCCACCCAGGGTCAACCCGCCGCAGATTCGTGCTTTTAGAAGATTCTTTATCCATGCTACGGTCTTACTTTTATGGGTTCACATATTACAGGGAGGCATCTGCCATGATTTATCAAGACATTAATGACTAGTAGTTATGTGTCCAGATACTTCGTAACCACTGAGCTGCCCGACAACAGAGGTCACCGAAAGACAGATGTCTTACAAACCAGTTTAAAGATCTCCTTGCACTTTCTCTTTTTAAGAGCACCAGCAGGGCTTCGACCCTTCTGATATTTCCACATTGATATTATCGTCCCCTCTTTAAAATTCCTTATACCAGTAGGCTTCCATGATTTACTGGTAGTCTTCAAACAAAAAAAACTTCCTAACAGAACATCCATTGATTGCTGCAGTTTTTTAAAGACTAACAATAAAAAATCATAGACTTCAGTCTCCATCAAGGCAGAAAGGAAACAGTAATTGCAATTTGTGAGCCTCCTGCCGTGGGTGAAGGAGCTCAGGCTGGGAAGAAGGAACCTCGGCAATATTAGCGGCTGTCACAGCGGATCTGGGCGGGATGTGCCGATTTGTTCATACATGATCCTCTGATAAGAGAATTTGTCAAGGTGAAAAGATGGATGCGAGATAGAAGGGTGCCCAAAGGAATGTCAGCTTTGAGGAGGACCACCAGATAAAAGTGTGAATGTATGGGAAGCTGCACGGGAGTGTATTTGGTGGCTGCTAGTCATGGCTTTCTAGTTAGACAGCCCTCAAAAGAAGAGACATTTTCTGCAGAGATGTAACAGCAAATAATACGGTTTCTTACTCCACATGTTTCGCCATATCCAAGTCTTGTACTAAAAAAGAAAAAAGTAATATGAGTATTAAAATAATAATATGCATTATTCAACTCTTTCTTCTGCCAAAGGAAAGGAAGGAGGCAGTGGGACAGCCATATCTTTTAGAAGTTTCCTTCCCCTTTAACCAAAGGCAGGGAGCAATGCTGTGATTTCCCTGTATTTAAAAAAAAAAAAAAAAAAATGGGGATATGAATTACCAGATTCCTAGCTTGGAAAACGTTTGCTCTGCCTTTAGATACTAACAACTGTGAGGTCCCATCAAGCTTCAAACAAGCCCCTTGTCTTCTTGCTAGTCTCCACTCTGCATTCTCAGTTTAATAGGGTGGGGATTGGTACTGGCCTCAAAGAAGATCAGTGATACCCCAGATCAATAATGAAACATGAAGGACTTTTTCTCAGTTTTCAACAGTCTCAGAGCTGAATTTCCCTTTCACCTTCTGATTTAGAATCATTTAGAATTATATGGACTAATCAGCGTGAGACAACGTGCAAACAAAAGAGGACATGAAAGAGCAGCTGACTGCCAAACTTCATGATGGATGAGTCTGAAAGTTGTTTGTTCTTATCTAGCATCACAAGAAGGACTGATACGTACCTAGATGGAGCATTCATCAGTTTACTTATCACAGATTTGATTTTGCTGTTGTTTAATTGAAAGGGAGTTTTTCCTGACGTTGCTGAAGGGTAGAATCAGCCCTTTGTGTATAAAGTTAATTCATTAAATGTATTTCTGTACTATCTTTTTGTTTCAGAATGCTTGAGGATGATCTGAAACTCAGCAGTGATGAAGACGACAATGAACAGGTAAACACATCTGATATAAGTGCATAGACCATATAATCTGACCAAGCTGTTTCATCAGTTGAATGTGATTGTGTGTTGGTTTACTATATTTGCATCAAAAGCGTATTGGGGTGCTACAGAATCCATTACCTTACATCTTGTCTGTGCACAGAACCTTTGCGGGAGGAAAATAATTTTTTATGAAGGAATACATTTTGTCAGTTTTACTGAATTAACTTTGTGAAGTGGGTTAAGCTAAATAACAACATGACTTATTAGCCTTGGAATAAAAGACTGTACATGACATCACCCAGGAGTAGCTAATGTGCTCTGAGATTCTGTCCTCTGTTGTACCAAATTAACTGTGGAACAGCCTCCGCTTGCTTCGCAATCAATTTCTAAAACTGATGACCGTTTTGGAAGTGAGTGTGAAATGGCCACATTGGACCGCTATCGAGATGCAGAGCTCGTTTGCACTTTGCAATTCATTTATACAATTGCACCTGAGAAGATTGGGTCTGTAAGTTTTGTTCCAGTCGGTCAGTAAAGGACTGGGAGTCCATAGTTAGTAATCCAATGATTCCTATTTGTGAGAGGGAAGACCCTCCGTGTGTAGCTGTAAATCAATACTGAAAGTCTCTCAACCTACTTGGGATGTTAATGAAGAGTCATTTTCAGAAAACTGGCTCATGTCATTCTCTATCCTTCCCACTTTATAAATATTTATGGATAATGCTGGGAAATGAAACTGGTGAAATTCATATTCTCCACATTCTCATCAAAAAAAAAAAAGAGACTGGGTTAAATTCATCTTTCATGTTCCTTTATAGATGCAATAGGTTCAAATGTGTAAACATCTGCAATAGAGAGGAAGGTAAGGCTGTAATTCAGCGTAAGATCATCTGTTCAGCCTGGGAAATGTTAATTATAAGTCAATCTTTCTTTCTTATTTATTTTTAAACCGCCTAAATGTTCTCCTTCAACCTACCTAATCTGTCTTTTAGGGTCATACAAGGAAAGATACTTTCTGGTGTCAGTTGACCCCTCAGCCATACAAGTCAGTATTTTTTAGCACCGAGATAAACTTGCACCCTCTTCTGAAGCCAAAAGATCAAATGCCTGTACTTGTGAAATGTGTTGTTGTACAAACATGGTGGCTTATGAAACCAGCAGGTTTCCTGATCTATTGGAAACTTACCTAAATAGTCCTGTAAAAGGACATTGTGATACTGAGATGTCCAAAATATAGAAATGGAAATATATTATCAGGTGGGAGTTACTTTTATTTTCCTAGAGTAGTAGTTTTCTAATGGCTTAAGTAGAATTATTCCAAATTTACACTTCTAAGAGGAAATTGTGTGTCATTGCTGAATGAAGAAGCAAATGCCGGGACCAGTGTTTGCTGACATCAGACGAAAGCCCTCACTAACTTGAATAGGTGTCATCTGTCATGTTAATCCCAAGCAGGAAAGACATGGTTATGTCTACACTGCACAGTGGAGTATTGATAGCTCTTAAAATATCGTTGCTGTCATTTGGTACATGCATGTCTCTTACCCAAAGGCAGCGTCATGCTCATGAATGGTGTCACATTGGTCCCAGCTCAGGGGCTACAGCCTGAGTCCTTGTATGGTGGTGAGGTGCTCGAGCTGTAGGAAGCCTCAGACCATCAAAACTCCATGTGACTTTCCAATAATACCAATCACTGCGTAAGCTGCAGACAGACAAGAGAGCATAATAAGGACCGCTCATGTAGTTTCTCAAAATTTTATAGCACATAGAAAATGTAGGCACAAATACAAACTGGGCACAGAGTGGGTTGAGAGTAGCCCTGAAGAGAAGGATTTGGGGGTGTTTATAGATGAGAAGCTCAACATGAGCTGGTAGTGCGCTCATGCAGCCCAGAAGGCCAACCGCATCCTGGGATGTATCAAGAGAAGCATGGTCAGTAGATCAAGAGAGGTGATTCTCCCCCTTTACTCTGCTCTTGTGAGACCCCACCTCAAATACTGCGTCCAGTTCTGGTGTCCCCACCATAAGAGAGACATAGATTTGTTGGAGCATGTTCAGAGGAGGGCCACAAAGATGATCCAGGGGCTGGAGCACCTCTGCTACGAGGACAGGTTGCGGGAGCTGGGATTGTTCAGCCTTGAAAAGAGAAGACTTTTCGGGGACCTAATAGCTGCCTTCCGATACCGGAAGGGAACCTACAGGAAGGCTGGGGAGGGACTTTTTACAAGAATGTCCACTGATAGGACAAGGGAAAACAGGTTTACGTTGAAGGAAAAAAGATTTAAATTAGATTTTAGGAAGAAATTATTCAGTACGAGGGTGGTGAGACTTTGGAATAGATTGCCCAGAGAGCTTTTGGATGCCCCCTGCCTGGAGGTGTTCAAGGCCAGGTTGGACGGAGCCTTGAGTAGCCTGATCTAGTTGAGAGGCATCCCTGCCCATGACAGGGAGGTTGGATTAGATGATCTCTGAGGTCCCTTCCAGCCTTTGCCATTCTATGATTCTATGATTCTATGAAAATGTTTTTCCTTTTGTCAATGTGAGCTACATCTCACTCTGAGTGATCAGAATTTATTCAAATCTTCTAAGCTCTCCCAAATATCTTCTTAAGAAACAGATTATGGTCTGAATATTCAGGGATTCCAAACATGCATGCTTCCGATCACATAAAAAATACATGAACTGGCCAGACAGGAAGCACACGTATTTTTTAAATGCCTTGCACTTCAAGGGAAACCTTCACCTTTCCTACATTCGGAAACCTTGTGATTCTCTGTCCTTTTAGACTTTTGGGATTTGTGCACTTGTACAAGTTACCAAGTGAGTTTCTTTGGACTGTGATGTGCAGGAGGTCCAATGAGATGTTCATTGCAGGTCCCTTCATACTTTCCGTCTATAAAGCTTTGGACCATATTGATCTTTGCAACAGAACATGAGGCAAGTTACCAGTCACTCCACTCCAGCTGCAAACTCCCATCATCACTTTCTGGGCCTCGCTTGGAGAGACCGCAGTTATCGCCTGCATCTAACACGTGTAAACACAGCCCACAGTGTCTTCAGTGTAGACACTCTGGAGCTCACCATATGACATGTGCTTTGTCCCATAGACAAAATGCTGATTCTTGTGTCTCGTTGCGGGTGATTTGGGATTAAAGATACACAGAAAATGACGGGTTAGATCTGGAATCAATTTTCATTTACAGCTGAGAAGCAGTTATTGATGCTGTGCTCACAGTTCAATAAAAGATCTAAAGATATAGACCTTGTGTTTCTCTTTCAATATAAGCAGCATAATCAGTCTCAAATGTTTTTACAAAGAAAATTGTATTGACAGTTTTATTAAAATTGCTGTCTTTAAAGTTTTAAGTTATCCACAATTTGACCTACTTGAATGGTTTTTAATATGCACACTGACCAACCCAATAGATTTTTGTGTCACATATTTATAATATCAGGTACACATCTGTTTAATGTATTACTTGAGAGATATTGTTACATTTAAGCATTGCCTGGATTGTAAACTCTTGCAGTATTGTCACTGAGAGAAATGTTGGCGCACGCATCGCTATTGCGTTCAGAAGTCCTACCGCACAATCGTTTTAGATTGGCTACGAGAGTCAAGGCAGATGACAGACATGTTATTAGTAAAACCATTAGATGACAAGGCATTTCAGAGGTGCTAATGTTAACATTCTTCTGTGAGGAAGGACAGAGCTTTTAGATGGCTTTATTACTCTGTTAAAAAAATACATCAGAAATTAGGAAGAGTAGTGAAGATTTTTAATTAGTAGCTCGGTTCAGCTAAAAGAGCTTAGATAAAACACAGGTTAGTATTTTTGTTCTTTAAAGCACCACTGTATAATTCAAATTAGCTTTGAGCTCAAAGCCATCCAAATGAGTTGTGCCTGGATACAGTATGTTAAGTAGCTGTAGTGTACCCAATTTTCTTTAACCAGCTCCTCTTTGTTCTTCTGCCTAAGGAATAGTCCTGTTAACCTTTGAAACGGGTACTTAATTTAAAGCACATTGCTGGCATTTTGTGTGTTTTTGAACCAAAGAAACTTTGATAGTTGTTACAGACCTGCTCCATTTTCAGTATTTTACGTATATAGTGGTTTTGGCAGAACAAATCAATAGGATGTTTTTCTGTTCTATGTGATTTTTTTTCTCCTTCCGTTAATAATTGCCACTTTATTGCCACTTCTCTGATAACCATACAAACTCAAGACATGCGTATAATCCATGGCCCTGCTCTGTCATTTGTATTTTACACAGACATAATTCTTTTTCACTAGGTTAGCATTAGGTAATTACATACACAATGTTTGACTTTGTAGCTGAGTCTAAAAAGGTGATCAGCCGTAGACTGAACTTTAAATTCTTATAGTGCATACTCACCTTTCAAAGCCTTTACTCAAGTTAAATTTTTTAGAAATTTATGAAATTCTAAGACACAGTATGCCTTCATCATACCATGTAAACACCTTTTAAAGTGGAACAGTGACCATTTTCCTTGTAACAATAGATATCCTTTCCTGTTGTAATTTTTCCCATTTTTTTAGCTGGATCCTGAACAAGCTGTTTACCTCCCCAAGGTTTCTCTACATTTCCATTTACTTTGTTATCAGCAGAAAGGCTGAGGAACAGCTCTTCAGTAATGACATCAATACTGCACACACAGTGAGAGAGGTCATCTTGTCAAAGCTATAGAAAAATCAGATGGATTAAGATGAAACTAGGTGCAAAATAACTTTGATAGAGTCTTTTAATGTAAACAGTTTATCTGTCATTGGGTTCCATTGAAATCCCAGAGCGATGCAGCATCAGTTGTAGCCACAGCAGCGTATGTTTTGATAAAGAACCCACATTCCAGTGTTTAAGATCTACAGTCATGGTTTATAATTGTAGGGAAATGTTTTCATTAAGCCATTAATGGAAACAGAAGCTATTAGGATAATACAGTCATTCTCCAACCTTGTCAGTCTATAACCATGAAAAATCCTTTTGTG